CTATGGTGGCAGGGATTCAGGATAAACTTAACAGCATAGGCTCTCACTCATCAAGGCTAATATAGCTACTGCTGCTGCTAAATGTCCAGCATGTCAGCAGCAGAACATAATGCTAAACAGCATTCCTCAAGGAGACCAGCCAGCCACTTGGTGTCTAGTTGAGTACATTAAAAAAAAAAAAAAAATACCCCATTGCCGTCGAGTTGATTCTGACTCATAGCGATCCTATAGGACAGAGCAGGACTGCCCCATAGTTTCCAAGGAGTGCCTGGTGGATTAGAACTGCCGACCTTTTGGTTAGCAGCTGTAGCACTTAGCCACTATGCCACCAGGGTTTCCATTGAGTACATTGGACCTCTTCAGTGCATCTTGATACGGCTTCAGTTCATTTAGATAAGAATCAGCACTTACACCAGGTAGTCTTTGCCTTTCCTGCCTGCAGGGCCTCAGTCAACGCTTTTATACTTACACAGTGTTTGGTCCATCAGTATAGAATCCCACACAGTGTTGCATCAAAAAAGGGAACCCCCTTTGCAGCAAAGAGTTACAGCAGTGAGCTCACAACTGTAGGATGCACTGGTCTGTCACATACATCCGGAAGCTGTAAACCCAATGGAGTGATGAATTGGCCTGCTGAAGACATGTCTGAGGCACCCTCTTTAAGTTAATAACTTGTGAGGATGAGGTACCATCCTCCACAATACAGGATTGTAAGTACTAAATCAATGGCTATTATATGTGCTTTGTGGGGTACATGTTCAAAAACCAAATGGTGGTCCTATTTACCAGTACTCGCAGTAACTGACATGGCGAATTTATGCTTCCTGTCATCCAAACTTTGGACATTAAGCGATCGTGATACCCAAAGGGAGAATGCTTCCGCTGGTTGACGCAGAAAGATTCCCTTTGAACTATGAACTGGCTCCTGCCCAGGAACCTTGTATCTCTCATGACCAGCAGGCGAAGAGTAATCACCATATTGGCAAGGGTCAATTTACCCTGATCATCAGAAAGTAGATAGGATGACTGTTAATGTAGTAGGGACAGGAAGGAATATATTTGGCTTCCAGATGATTCACTTGGATGTCTCTTGGTACTCCTTTGCCCAATTTGACAGTAAATGGACAAATACAGCAGTCATGGCATGAAAAGTGCTCAGTAACCTTAGGATGAGGGTCTGGGTCTTCCCCCAGATAAGCCATCTAAACTAGCAGAGGTGCTAGCCAATGATGAGAGGACTCTAGTACGGATAGTAAGGGAGGAAGATGATAGATAACCGTTGAAATGTCAGGATTAGCAGCAGGGAGCAATTCATCCCATCTCTGATTTTCCCCCACTAGAGTCTTGGAGGAGCCCTGGTGATGCAGTAGTTAAGAGCTCAGCTGCTAACCAAAAGGTTGGCAGTTCAAACCCACCAGCAGCTCCTTGGAAATCCTATGGGGGCAGTTCTACTCTGTCCAGTAGGATCGCTGTGAGTTGGAATCGACTTGACAGCAACGGGTTTAGTTGTTTTTTTTTTTTTATTATTATTTTAGACTTCTGGAAGAAGCCCTGGTGGTGCAGTGATTAAAGCGGTTGACTGCTAACTGAAAGGTTGGCGGTTTAAAATCACCAGTGGCACTGCGGGAGAAAGATGTGGCAGTCTGCTTCTGTAGAGATTTACAGCCTTGGAAACCCCATGGGGTCGCTATGAGTCAGAATTGACTCAATGGCAGTGGGTTTGTTTGGGTTTAGAGTCCTGGAGGAGCTACTTCCAGAACTTACATGAAGGAAGAGTATCCAAACAATGCAAGGAGTGGTTTGGATATTATACTGCACTGCCCAAATAATACCTTCTGGGCTGGAAGACTTACACCCCCAGCTGCAGAGAAGAGTGTCACTAACACTTCAGTTGACAGCCCTCAGCTGTCACTCTCTTTGTCAGTTGTATTAGCTGAAGAGAGCCACCTCACTCATGCTGCTTCTTGGGACAACCTAAATCCAGTGACTGGTCAATGTGGAGGTATAAAGGCCCTGTCCCCTCAACTTAGGATAACTCTGAAGGGCCATCTTAGTCTGAGACCTCCTTGTAGGGCCATCTGAGGCCTTGGAGTAGCTTCATTGCAGCTTATCTTCACCCTCTGTTCAGTTGTCATTCCATCCCTTCTCTCCAGAGGTGCTGATCTTGAGAGCACTCCTAAATAAACTTCCTACATATTAAATCTTCTAATTGAGTCTGCTTCCTGGGATCCCCAGTTGCAGTAGGGACGTCAGAGCTGAGACCAGAATGATGAGAATGAGCCAAACATTTGAAAAGCTAGGGACAGAACACTCAGTCAGAAAAAGAAATTCAAAGCTCTAAGGTGGGAAGGAGTTTTATATGTTGAGGAACAGAGAGGATACAAAAGATTGAGTGAAGGAAGCAAAAAAGAGTGATATGAAATAAGTTTGGAGATGTCGGCATAATCCAAATCATGCAGGTCATTGTAGGCAATGGTAAAGTTTGGATTTCAGTTTTTAAATATTGGGTAATTGTTATAGGAGGAGAGGAACATGATCTATTTTTTAAAAAAGACCACTCTGGCTTCTGTGAGGGGTATGAGTGGAAAAAGGAAGGCAAGTTAGAGGCTTTTATAGTAGTCTAGGTAAGAAACAATGGCAAGGTGAACTGAGCTGGCAGCAGGACAGAAGTATAGAGATTCAGAATGTATTTTGGTGTAAATACTCAGAAGACTTGCAGATAAGTTGGATGTGTGAGTGAGGGAAAAGGAGGAAACTAATGTGGCTGTTGGTTTTGAGACTTGAGTAGCTGGGTGGTGAATGTCATCATCTATGGATGCTGGGAACACTGGGGGAGGATCCCGATTTCTCGTTTTGTTTTGTTTTGTTTTGTTTAGTATTTCTTAGAGTTTTAATCTCTCCTTAGATTTTTCAGCTGTTTTTACATGTTACTCAGTTTTCCCACTAACTCCTTTAGCATGTTAATCATAGCTGTTTTAAATTTACAGTCTTACAATTTTAACATTTCTGCCCTATCTGAATCTGATTCTGATGTTTGCCCTGTCTCTTCAGACTGTGATTTTTGCTTTTAGCCTGCCTTGTAATTTTTTGTTGAAGTCCAGACATAATGTATTAGGTAAAAGCAACTGAGATTTTTTCAGCTGTAAAGCTCTGTTGATGTTAATGTGGTGATAGATAAGGCATGGGAGGAGGGGAAGCATTCTATAGTCCTATGATTAGGTCTCAGTCTTTTAGTGAGCCTGTGCCCCTAAGTTTTGACCTTCACAAGTGCTTCTCAGCATTTTTTTTTTCATCCGTAGGTGAAACAGGAGGGCTAGAGGGGCCTGGAGTTGGGTATTTCCTTTTCCTCAAGTCCAGTTTTAAAGGGGGCTATTATTGGGTATTTCCCTTCCCCTACTTTGAAGACTGGAAGGGGACTGAAATTGAGTTATTCGAAGGCTAGATGGATGTGGAATTTGGTGATTCCCCTCCTCCAAGTCAGTTAGGTAACAAAACTCACACTGGCTAGGCTCTGGTAAAGGTGTTTCCTCTGAGGACAGGCTGTTGTCAAGGACAGCAGAGTATTTGTTCAAAATAGTTAATTTTCCTCTCCTTCTGGAAGCAGGAGGGGTTTTTTTCCCAAGATTCACAGTGAAAATTTTGAGCTTCTGGGGGTGAAACTAATAAAAGTGTGAGGGCCCCCCAAAGCTGCTCTCTAGGAATTTTTCTCTCTCAAGCTAGTTCACACTCAGTCTTTAGCAATTAGTCACTTACCTTTAAGTATTCTGCCCAACACTGAGTAATCTCTGCTCCCATTAAACAATGATGACAGCAGCAATCTCTACTCCCATTAAACAGTGATTCTCTGTATTTGTCTCTCTCTCTCTCCTGCTTTCAGGGCAGTGATTTCCTCTGTGACTTCAGTTCTCTGATGGATCTAAGAATAGTTGTTGATTTTCAGATATTCAGCTTTTTTCTTGTTGTGAGAACAGGAAGGGATGACTTCCAAGCTCCTTACATGCTGGAAGTTCCAACTGATTGGTTTTTAATTGAAGGCTTGAGAAATTAAGAGCTCCATTTTGGACGTAGGAAGTTTAGACATTCATGCAAGTGGAGGTTTCAAATAAGCAGTTAATGTAAGTCGGGTGGTAAGGTTTAGGGAAGATATAGGATGAGAGCACTTTGGGATAAAATGTATATAGAAGCCATTTGGGGTAATATATATATATAGGATTTTATCTTCCATTACACAAGATGTCTGCCTTTTATTCACCATCAGTGGGTTGTATTGGAAGAAATATATGCTTTAAGTATGAAAGACATGGTTTGAAACCTAGCTCTTCCGTTTAAGTATTGGGTTTCTTAAACTTTTTAACCTCATTTTTATTTAAAACTCAGTTAAAAGCATCTTACCAATTTGTGCAGTATCCAGTTTCTGCTCCAGGTAAGCAAATGTTCATATACAATCTCTCCTTCAGGCATTTATTTTTACTTAAAGTTCAGGCTAGTTGGCTGCCTTGAAATCTCACCTCTGTGATGGGTTTGAGAAAACTTAAAATTGTATAGATTATTTAGTTTCTTCTTGTTGTTACAGTGGGGATGATGTTCTTTCCAACTTTTTACATCTTAACCAGAAGCACTGCTAGTATAGACATAAGAAATTTGAGATGCCTATAAAACATCTTTGTATAGGTTTTCAATTGACAGTTCTCCAAATTAGAGGAAAGACATTGAAGAAGATTGTGGCAGTATCAGCTTCAAGATAGTAATTGAAACAAAGCAGGAGTAGATAAGATTACTCAGGGGATGTTTATATATATACTTGGAAATCCAAAAACTCATATTATGCCTTCAAGTTTTATTTGCTCTTCACAGTTTCATCCCCCTTACACTTTGATTTTCTTTCTCATGAGATTGACGATACGCTGTTGTTTCTCTACAGATAATTGATATGTGTTCTTGTTCTTTACAATTGGTAGTGATAGATATAAAGTTAGTATTTGTGGGTTTTTCCCCCACAGACATTCCGAGCACGGAACACTACCAAAATAGCTGTAAGAGACTTGTCTCTGAATTTATATGAGGGACAGATAACTGTTCTTCTAGGACATAACGGAGCAGGAAAGTCCACCACTCTATCCATTCTTTCAGGTATGTGTTCAGCTCTGTTCAGAGGGTGAACCGTGGGTGTCCTTATACAGAAACTGTGAACAAATCTATGAGACTTTTCTGTACCCCCTTGATATTGACAGTAGTTATTTCAGTGATACAGAAAGTTGTTTACTAATCCACTTTCTTCATATGTTTCAAGCAATTTTTATAACATAAAATTGTTTTAGAGAGCATTTATTTTGGGGTAAAAAAAGAGGACATTACATAATGACAAGAAAGGTCAATCCACCAAGAAGACATAGCAATTCTAAATGTGTATGCAGTAAAGAACAGAATATCAAAATACCCAAAGCAAAAACTAATAGATTTGAAAAAAAGAAATTTATAAATTCACAATTACAGTTGGAGAATTCAACACCACTCTTGCAGCAATTGATAGAACTACTAGACAGAAAATCAGTAAGCATATAGAACTTAAAACAACCAACAGGATCTAATAGACATTTATAGAAAACTCCTCCAAACAACAGCAGAATAGACATTCTTTTAACCACCCATGGAACATTCACCAAGATAGACCATATCCTTATCCTAGGCAACTCTACGAAGGAATGAGAAGTTTCTAAGGCAGAAGGGAAATTGTTCCAGATTGAAACTCAGATAAGTAGGAAGAAATGAAGAGCACCAGAAGTGTTAAAATGTTGGTAAATATAAAAGACGGTTTTAAAAGTAACTTCTTTAGAAGACTATTAAATGTTTAAGCAAAATAACAACAATAGTTCCACTTTTGGGATGGCAGTGTGAGGAGTTATGAAGACCCACTCCCCAGTGAAATAAGCAAAGCTGGCAAAAAGTACCAAAAACCAAATAAAACCCTTAATCACTTCAAGTCTCTGGAAATTGTACAAAGCTGGCAGAAAGTACCAAAAACCAAATAAAACCTTTAATCACTTCAAGTCTCTGGAAATTGTACTAAGGGCATACAGCCAGTGAAGAAATATTTATTCAAGAAAATCTACTAAAAGTCGATAAGGACAGCAAGAGTCTGTGAAATTTGAGATGCGTTCTGATCTACCCACCGCGTCTCAGCAGATGCAAGCTCCACTGAAGGTGGGTGTGACCAAGAAGATGAGGATCCCTGTCCCCTCAGCTCCCAGCTAAGGGTGACCGCATCTCACTGAAAGAGGCAGGTTGCTAGCATTTCTTATCCCTTCCTACTCCAATTTGAAGCAGCTAAATTCCTGTTGAATGTAGCCAAGAGGTTAGGGGCTCCATTCTTCCACTCGTCACCTATACGTAATACAGTATTTCTACCCTAGGTGTAGCAGGGCGATTCCCTGATTTTCTTTTCGCCAGCTTGCTCATAGGGAAGAGGGTACACACCAGGAAAGGCAAGCAAAGATCAGAGGCTATTGCCCCACCCAGTGTCCAGAGTAGTGATTGAGAGATTTTGCCCGTGGGGAGAGGCAGTTCATAAAAAAAAAAAACAATTCCAAAGCTCTTCCAAAAGGAACTGACTGTATTTCAACAGAATGTGGTAAAGCTCAAGCCTAAAAGCACTCCAGAAAGAAACACTTCCTCTTAATTGAGAACAAGCTAAATCATAGCTCATCTAGTTCACCAGAGAGAACTAGGGAAGGAAACAGCTAAAAAGATCAAACAAACCTCCAAGGCTGACTTTAAAAACAGACCCTGATGAATTTAATTGGATTAGACTACTGAGCAATTTATGCCTCAAGGCACTGTCAGAAACAGCACAGCAATCAGTCAGTAATAAATGGAGCCTATCTAATATTGTGTAATATGAAATGAGGCACGGGAGTAAACAGACAGATCAGGAAAAGAGACAGTCAAAGACAGCCCTGCTGAAAACACTGTCATTCTAGAATGTACACATGCCCAAAGCTGTGTCCTCTGAGTAGTTAACACCAAAGACTTCACATTACAGGAGAAATATAATTCACTAAAATAGTCTAGCCAAGTCACAAAACAAATAAGCAAGCAAATGATAAAAGTAAAAGCTGGAGAGAAGGAAGAAGAATCAGTATTCAGAGTTGCTACAAATAATTGCTAAAATGCATCCTAAAATGACTAGTTTGTAACAAAAATTATGAAAAATGAAAAGAAACAGGAAAACATGGCCCATGCACAGGGAAAAAAGCAGGCAACAGAAAATTCCTGTGAGAGGGTCCAGATATGAGACTTAACAAAGACGTTAAAGTAGTCATTATTAGTATGTTCAATACCTAAAGGAAACCATGATTAAAGAAGTAAAGAAGGTATGAAGACAATGTTGTGCCACATTGAAAACATCAATAAAGAGATAGAAATTACAAATAAGAATCATTTGGGAATGTTGGAGTTGAAAAGGACAATAACCAATATGAAAAGTTGATTATAGATGTGAACTGAAAGAAGAAAAATATTAGTAAATTTGAAGATTAAGATCATTCAATTCAAAGAACAGAAAAGAGAGTGAAAAAAATGAACAGAGCCCCAGAGAAATGTGAGATAGCTTTAAGTGCATCAATACATATACAATATTAGTTCCAGAAAGAGAGGAAAGAGAAAGGAGCAGAAAAAACATTCTAACAAAAAACAGTCGAAAACTTCCCAAATTTGCTGAAAAGCATTAACCTACACATCCAGGAACCTCAACAAACTCGAAATAGAATAACTGGAAAGAGATCTGCCCCCAGATACATCACAGTAAAAATTCTGAAAGACAAATACAAAGAGAAAATCTTGAAAGCATCAAGAGAAAAGTGACTTATCACATAAAAAGGAATCCCAGTGGTATCAACAGCTGACTTCTCATCAGAAACAATGGAGGCCAGAGGCAATGGAATAACATATTCAAAGTACCGAAAGAAAAATAACTGTCAACCCAGAATCTTATATCCAGTAAAACTTTCAAAAATGAAATTGAAATGAAGAAATTTCTACATAAATAATAACTGATAAAATTTGTTGGTAGGAGACCTGCCTTACAATAATTATTAAAGGAAGTTCTTCATGCTCAAAGCAAGTAAACCCAGGTGGGAATTTGAATCCACATTAAAAAAAAACAGCACCAGTAAAGGTAATTATGCAATTATAAAAGACTATATAAACGCATACTTCTTTTTTCTTCTCTTAGCTGATTTAAAAGCATTTGTATAACATGTATGTACATATTTGAATTGTTGAGCCTACAACATATAGAAGACTGATATATTTGACACTAATAGCATAAAGGAGATGAGTAGAAGCAGAATTGTATTGGAATAAGAAATTGACACTAGATGTTAACATGAACAAATGAGAATCAGAAGTGTAAATATAAAAATTCTGTAAATATATATCTGCCCTACTTTCTTTCTCAACCTCTTTAATAGACAAAAATTATAGAATAATAATTAAAACTATGTATTGTTTGATTAGTAACATGTATAATATATATAACAATAATAGGAAAAGTAGAAAGAGGAGTAGGGCTATATGGAAGTAATGATTCTGTAGATCTCTGGAATTAAGTTATTATAAATCTGAAGTATACTCTGTTAGGTTGTGTATAGTAAGCCTTAGGACAACCGCTAAGAAAATAATGCAGGAATATATAGTGAAAAAATAATTAAATAAATTAAAACAGAAATGTAAGTTAGAAAATATAAATTGAAATGAAAGAAAGCAATAAAGGGGCAATAGAGAAACAAAAAAGACATGAAACATAGAAAACAAAAATCAAATAGCAAACATAAATCCAACCATAACAATAGTAATATTAAATGTGAATAGATTAAACAATCCAAAGTCATAGATTTTCAGACTGGATAAAAATAAGAAGATCTAACTCTATGCTGTCTACTGGAGACACACTTTAGATTCAAAGATATAGATAGGGTGAAAGTAAAAGAATGGGGAAAGATACATCATGCAAACAGCAACTGTAAGAAAGCTGGAGTGGCTATACTAACATCAGACAAGATATACTTTGAAACAAAAACGTTACTAGAGCTAAAGAGGGATATTTTATCGTGATAAAATGGTGAATCCATCAAGAAGTTGTAACAGTTATTAACATATATGTATCTAACAACAAAGCCCCAAAATATAGGAAGCAAACACTGAAAGAAATGAAGGGAGAAATAGACAATTCAGCAGTAATAATTGGAAACTTAAATAACCCACTTTCATTAGTAGATAAAACAACTAGGCAGAAGATCAACAAGTAAACAGAAGACTTTAACAACACTACCCACAAACTAAACTTAACAGACATCTGTAGAACACTTCATCAAACAACAACAGAATACATCTTCCTCTCAACTTCACATGGAGCATTCTTCATTATCAACCATATGGTAGGCCATAAAACAAGCGTTAATAATTTAAATGGATTGAAATAGCAAAAAGTATAGTTTCCAATAATAATGGGGTGAAATTAAAAATTACTAACAGAAAGAAATTTGGGGAATTCACAGATCTGGTGGAAATTAAACAACTCATCCTAAATAAATGATTATCAAGGAATAAATCACAAGGGAAATAAGAAAATAACTTGAGATGAATAAAACCAAAAACAAACATACCAGAACTTACAGGATGCAGCTAAAACAGTGCTTGGAGAGAAATTTTTAGCTGTAAACACTTATATTGAAAAAGAAGAAAATTTTCAAACCAACAACCTAAACTTCACCTTAAAACATTGGAAAATAAAGAGCAAACTAAAACTAAAACAAGTGGAAATGCGGAAATATTGGTTAAGTTGGAAATTAATGAAATAGAGTATATAAAAACAGTAGAGAAATTTAATGAAACAAAAAAGTCAGATCAATAAAATTGACATACCTTTAACTAGACTGACCAAGAAAATAAGAGAGAGGAACCAAATTGCTAAAATCAGAAATAAAAGGACCATGATGGAATTTGGAAGTCAAAAGGGGTGATTGGACATAAACTCTGATTTTAAAGCAACTAAAACTATAATTTTACCTGTGTTTTATTGACTGTGAAAAGGCATTTGACTGAATAGATCTAAACAAATTATGGATAATATT